CCAATGAATTCAATAATCGCTAAGAAATTTGTTGCCACCATCCTGAAATAATATAATTTAAAAAAATAATAAATAAATAAATAAAACAAAAGAAATTAACAAATAAACAATAAATTACTTACCATAACTGTTAGTAATTTATCCAAGTTACAAAAAAAAAAAAATTAAAATAACATTAATTAAATTTAATAAAAAATTAAATCCCAACCTTTTATTACAAATAAAATCGCTAATTAATATTAAAAATAAATTAAATAATAAATTAAAAAAATAAACAAAACGAAAAAATTAAATTAAAGCGACTTACCACTATAGTCACTAATCGTTAATTCCACAATTTCCAACCGATCCTAAAATATAGAAATTTAAAAATTAATATTCTAATTTACACATATTTTGACACTTTCTCCTTTCATTTCACTCTACCACCTCACCACTTCACAGCCTTTCACAGCCTCCCACTTATCCCACCGCCTCCACTGCCCCTCACTACTCCAATTCCTCCCCACCTCACTACTCACTTAATTAAAAACGAACCCTAAAATAAATTAAAAATATATTAACAAACAGCGAAAATAAAACAAATATTTAAAAAAAATATTAAAAAAAAAAATATTTACTTACCCAACCAAAGTTGGTAAACTTGCTTTCTTCAGTTCTAAAGAAAGAAGTTTACAACAGTATATCAGCAAACAAAGATTATCAATTTATTAATTGATAATCAATTCAAGATCCGAATTCAGATCTGAATCTGAATTCAAATCTGACGGATCAGATCCAAATCTGAATCTGAATCTGACGGATCAGATTCGAATTCGAATCTGAATCTGACAGATCAGATCTGATCTGAATCCGAATTCGAATTAGATCTGAATCTGATAGATCTGATCTGAATCTGTGCGGAACACTATCCCAGAGAGAATATTTCTCACTTTTGCTTCACATTCATCTGGAGACTCCCCATCTAGCACACGAATATCGAAGAAAACCTGAATTCCCAAAAGGGTTACTACTGCTTTTTGGCTATTAATAAGAGAACCGTAAAGCCGTAATATATAATAATACTTTCCATTTATTTTTTGAATGGATCCTTCGTTATCAGTGGCTATGAATAGTATTTCTTGGCAATTGAATAGAGCGTCTTCAAGGATTACGGTTAATCCCTCATCATTTTCCGCAACTATATTATCTCAAGTTGAAATGCCTAACAAGTATTTTTCACCAGAATAGCGAATTACCTGGCCTTCTGTTTTATCTTTTTCAGCCTCTGAGTGAAAAAGCAGGCAGGAGCATCGAGGAACTCTGAAAGCTCTGAATATTCAGTTATTTTTAGATAACTTCCAGCTATATTATATCCTAAACTCGAGATATACTGTCCTGGAAAAAAAGTTTAAATAAAAAATAAATATATAAATATAAGAGATACCCAATGAGAGCTGAATTTATTTGCCAATATCTTTCTAATAAAGGGAATATATGCAGATGAGCTAGTACCTGAGAAGAAGGATGCAAAATTCATTGGAAAAGGCGCCAGCAAAACCCTTGCAAACAATGTAGAAAACCAACTACCTCAACCCATGGTATGTGTAATTTACATGTAGATAAGTATCATTCAAAACATATTATCATAGGAAGAAGCTAAATGTCTTAGAAAAATCTGCTCTAGAAAAATCTTCCTTAGGAAATTTTTGACTTCTAGAGGCAGAAGCGAAATAGCAAATTAACTTTATTAGGATGCTAGAATGGTTTCTTGAACGGTCCGCCCTAGGTGCCCTAGGTGACCTAGAAAATTTCAGACTTCTTTATTTTTTATTTTTTTTTTATCTATAGGTATAGCGAAAATATAGCATACCTATAGCATACATATAGCATACTGATACATATACTGAAAAGATATCATAAAAAAATGAATTTTTTTTTCTAGAATTTTATTTTACTAGGTCACCTAGAGCACCTAGGGAAGATAATACAGGAACAAGATAAAATAAAAAAGAATACTTTCTCCTATAACAAACTCTGACCTAGAAAGTGATCTAGTAAAATTTTTGCCCTAGGACATGAAATCAGTATACACATACTGGCAACAAATAGGCAATATGACTATTGCTATACGTATATATACCTTGCATTGAATGTGGTAAACGAACTTATTCCAAATATGGATATTGTAATTTACATGTAAATAAGTCCCATTCAAAAGCAAATTATCACTGGAAGAAATTGGCTAAGATGCTTTAGAATGGGCAGACTCCAGAAGCATTGGGGCAGGCTCTTGATAGAATGAAAATGCCTAATGCTATAAGTTGACCTTAATGACTTATCGAAAATTTGGCCTTATGAAAAATTTATAGGGATGGTAAAAAAACTTAACAAGGACGCTAGAAGTATCTTCTTTCACAATTTTAGAACTCTGGGAAGGCAATTTTACTACTTGTCCCTATGTCCTATGAGTCCTATGAATTTCCGAACTCTTTACCTTTTTTTATATTTTTTTTAAGCATATATGTATCATGCATATGTCATATATATATCATACTATATCGCATATAAGCCATAGGGATACCATAGAAAAATTTTGATTTTTTTCCTAGAACTTTTATATTTCATAGGAACTCATAGGGACATAGGAACAAGTATTAAAGAACTCAATAAATCAGGCTAAGAGATACAAAAATGATATCGAGATTATCCCTATGAGTGTCCCCATGAATTTTTCTTATAAAAACAGAGAATTTTTATAGGGACGCTCAAAAAAAAATAGCATACTCATTGCCTTAACTCACTTTAGACCATGATCAGATCTCAGAAAAGCTTACAACATCCCGCTAATATACTAGCAACAAATAAGCAATAGTTGGGTTGCAAATAGTGCATTTCTGGTCTCCAATTCTGAATATAAAAAAATATGTGACACAAAAACTCGCATAGCAAGAACAACTTCTATCGCCAAATCATACCCCCAAGTACTACATACAGTAGCGGTCATAAGTATCCGACCGCCCGAGATCGTCCAAAATTATTATATAACTACCCCTTAAATTT